GTCTCCCCTCAGTCTCCTCCAGGTTGAACAGACCAAGTGGCCTCAGTTGCTCCCCATACAGCTTCCCCTCAAGGCCCTTCATTATCCTTGTTACCCTCCTTTGGATGCTCTCTAATAGCTTAATGTCTTTTTTATATTGTGGCATCCAAAACTGCACACAGGACTCAGCACAGTGTTCTCTGATAATTACTGCCTCTTATTGGTAGCAATCTGTTGCTTCTAAAAACAAAAAAAAGAAAAAAAAAGAAAAAAAGAAAAGAAAAAAAAAAGAAAAGGAGATAGATATACCTTACAGTATCTTCTGTACTAAAATATTTTGGTTACTTGGTAGCTGCTACAGCTCTCATTCAGTCCTGACGATGGTAGATGTCTTTGTGGTAAGAATGCTAAGCTTCGTCTCAGTATCTCTTATGGAGGAAAAGTAAGATCCCCTAACAGGTAACCCTTTATATCTACTGCAATAGGCACTAATAGGTTTAAAGAAAATTAATAAAATAGTAATTAAAAAAAAAGTGTGCTACTTATTTGGTTTATTGTCCTGCTTGAGAAAAGATAATGTTATTTCTTTCATGTTTGGAGGTTATGTAGGGGAAGTAGCTCCAAGAACAATCACAAAGGAACATTCACAAAATGTCTGTATCACTGCTGACTATGTCATATCGACCCTGAGCCCAGCTGAGGAAAAGGTGTTCCAAATGTGTCAGCTTTAAGGAATTCTATGAATATGCAATAACTACTTTAGTTGGCAGATTGTGTATGGTAAGATTTAATTTTTTTGGCTCAGTAATTCTTTGTGAACTGGCTTTCTTCCCCAGCTCATTGGTTAATGTGTGGGGTTGATACCAAGAAAATTGTTATTCCTTTTTTTCACTGTATACACTGTGGTAACTAACTTTGCCTGCTCTCTCACCAATAACTCAGATTATAACTCTCTCCTGTAAAACACATTTTTATGTATTATGAAAGTGAATTTTTAAAAAAACATCTATTTTATAAAATGTTATCAATGATTGCTACACATTTAACTCTTCAATTCACTGATGTGTTTACTTTATTCTGTATGTTCTGGTCTCCTTTGGGGTCTGATTTTCCATCTGAATAGTATTCACACAAAATGGGATTCACCAAGGCCAGTTGCTAATGTGACTTCTTCAGGGATTGCACTGCATATGGTATGGCCTAACCAGAGTTTATCTTGATTAATTTTGTCACTCACATGTTTCCATCAGGGTATAATTAAGTAGATGATGTGCTAATGATGAATTGAACACAGAGCCAACAAGCCCTCATACAGGTCACACTCTCCTTTGATTTAATTTAGTCACCTTTTGCCTTATGGCTTCCCACTGGATGGATATACAGCCTGCCAACATCAACTGTGTTATGATGGCATGCATTTCCTACAGCATGCTTAAGAGTTATAAGCAGATTGAAACTTGGTGGTTTTAAACCTTTTCTCTTAAAAATCCAGCATAAAGTATACAACACAAGTTTCAAGAGACCCTTTATTGCAAATGTTTATTGGATCAAATTCCTTACTACTCAGGCCAGTGCTGGCTATGAAGGTACATGAAAGAGAGGGCAATGGGTATGTTCCTTAGAGACTTAGACAGACTTTCAGAACCTTGTCACACTTTATCTTGTGTATAGCTTACAGAGACATTAGCTGTGCCACCATAGGTATATGGAATTACTTCACTTTGAGCACATATCGTATTTTCTTTGATTATTTAGCAGTCAGCAAGTCTGAACATTTTCTATTTCCAGTTAATTTCTTCTACAGCTCTTTCTCAGCATGTTGCCCTACATCACTAAAAACATGAGTTTATGATTTAGGGTCTTATTTTTTTTTTATTTAAATTCTCAATTGTGTGTCAAAATCTGGATATGTAATTAACTTCAGTGTTAATTAAAGCAAAACTCACAAGGAAAGTAGGATAATCTTTGCAATGTGAGCACAAATAAACTAAAAGTCTTGGGCTTAGATTAAAGACAGCACTAAATACTGTTACCTTAAAATTGTATAGTAAATTCAATTATAAAAAGCTCTTTTCTAGAAAAAAATTATAAATAAATTTTTTTGTGGTAGCTTTTATTTAATTTTTGTCCTGAAATTCCCCAAAGCCTTCCACTGGATGAGAATTGTGTACAGATTTTTCTGATAGTGTCACATCAGAACTAACACACAACTTTAAGACAGGAGCACAGGATTTGTGTAAAGAAGCTCCGTTATTTTCCGTCCAAGTGGAGATTTGGGGATGGAATAAATCACCGTAGTGTTAACAGCTCTAATAGAACAGTCCTAGAAGACATTTCTAACTGGAACATGTCTTAGTCTTTGGTATGAATTATAAAGTGAGACATTTCTTATTGGTCCATGCTAGTGTCATGGAAAAATGTCTCTGTAGTCAAATCAAAGGCAGGTGCAAGACAACATTTTCCATGGTATAAAGCATTTTCAGTGAGTCTTTGATATCTTTACAGGGTTGACCACCTTAAGCTTCCCGAGGGAAGGTAACTGGTTCCTCATGCCTAGTAGCTCTTCCTCAAATAGCTTCCAGAAGTTTAGTATCACTGTTGTGTACATCCAACTCTTCTCCCTACGGAGATATATGTAGTTATGAATGTTTTTCTCCATGCCTAGAGGCCTCAAAGACAATCTCACAGTACATTCTTTTCTCATGGCACAGCCCTGTTTCTGGCTAACCAGCTTTCTAACCTGTACAGGTTGGAAGTTCCTCGGGTCACTGCTTCCACTCATAATACCTGAGAAAATACACTTTCACCACCAGTGGAAGGAGAAATTGGTAGGAGTAAGAATGTACTACTATGCTAGCCTGGACTTGTATGGAAACTTTTTTCCATTTTTTGGTAACTCTACAGTCTCCAAATGCCATGACTCCATCCTGTTTCACAATGGTCTCACAAAGGCAGACATCATTGCCAATCAAAGACTCAGGTGAGCCAAATTTCTCACTAGTGCTATTTTAAGAACAGGCAACCTTCACAGCTTCTACTTTTGACATCAGGAGGAATTCTGAAGTGGGGAACTGCACAAAACAACACTCAAAAGTTGGAGAAAGGATTGGTAGGAGATGTGACAAATGGGAGGACTACATTGTTTTAAATGTGACCTGATGAATATCTGGGTTTGAAACCAACGCAACTTAACACTCCATGAAAAATGGAGAAATACAGTATTTGAGTAAAAGCCACTTTTTAAACACCTAAGCAATTATTTTTGGTTTTCCAGTAGAATATCAGATTTGTAGTAACATACTAGCCCAGATGTACTTGGAAATAAATAAAAAGACATGCTTTGTAAAGATTATTGTAAAAGAATCTCTTAGAAAATAATGATGACTGAACTATTTTCTTTTAAAGGTGTGAACTTTTGCACAAGAAATAAGCAGTCTTTTAACTAGCAGTAAATCTTCATAATAAAAGGCAAACAGGGTAAGAGAAATGGCAGGAATGTATCTCCCAATCCAAATTGACCCTACAACCAGTTTTGATGAGCCTACTAAAAAATCCCCAAGATTGCTGTGTTACTTCTGAGGTTCATCTTCAAGCTTTCTCTCACATGTTCAAATATTTAAAATGATACCTTGTTCTTTTTCTCTCAGGACAGAATGGAGATAAACAAAAATTTTTTGTCACGTCAGTGGAAGAAAAGCACGTTTCAAAAAGACCTCAAAAAGAAATATATGTGGGGGAGAATACCTGTGCTCAGTTTATTCCTATACAAACTCAAATGGGAATTCTTGACTTGAAGTATCGCTGTTCATGCTATATGGTCAGAAGACGATAAGATGTAGAAAATGGACTTTAATTTCACTATAAACTTGGTTGCAATTTACCCAGCCAAGCACTCATCATAATTAACAACCATTCCATTCTCATGTTCAGCATTTGAATCATAATATATACTTTTTACACAATTTTATCTTTTCTCTAAGTAAAACTGACAGATTTTTGAGAGGCTGCAGATTAAAACAGGGAAACGACTGAAGAATAGAAGCCTAGAATGCATTTGTACACACAATTTTAATGTGAAATATTCTTAAGCTAGCTTCATTAGACACTTGAAGTATCCATTATAAACACTAAGATTTTTTTTAAGATAAATTCTCTTTTAATTGGGTTTTGCGCAGTTAATGGAAAGGAGAAAATGTACCACGTTTGATTACCACCCTGTTGTGATCCTTTAATTAAACTGTAATTTAATACCCCTACCACCAAATCATCTTTCATTTCCGTTGTTGCAGGTTGGTTTAGGCAGAAAAAAAGACTGCATATTTGTAATACAATTTTTATTAATTTCTAACTCAATGTCAGCTGGAGGAAAAAAGTATTATTCAACCCAAACATATGATAAGTGCACTGGAATAAAAATGAGAATTCCTCTTATCTACTGGGACAGAGAATAGACAGCCCCTTTTACATCCAGAATTCAGATAATTCCCCGTGCTACAAAAAAAAACGTGCTGGACGTCAGATAGTAAAAATTTTATTGCCAAAACTGACCAAGCCTTGTGATGAGACCTTCAGGGGGGAGGCGGTGAGCTCCAAGGCGAGCTGAAGGGGCCCGGCGCACGCGATTACTGTTTAAATTTATTGGAAGTTCGACATCTTCAGCGAGCCTTGGGCTGCACTTACCTCCCCTGAAAGCTGACTTGGAGCCCAGAGGAGCAGGGGAAAGGGGCCGCGTCTCCGTGGCTGCGCTGGGCGGGCCCGGGCGGTGGCGGGCCCGTGGGAGGTGCCGGTGTACCGGTGGGGAAGGACGGGGGAGCGCGCCCGGGGGAGCGCGCCCGGGGGAGCGCGCCCGGGGGAGCGCGCCCGGGGGAGCGCGCCCGGGGGAGCGCGCCCGGGGGAGCGCGCCCCGTGTC